CGTGCTGGCGCGAGCAGGCACGGTAGCAAGATTGCGACGGGCGGCAACGAAACCAAGCGGGGCGAAATGAGAGGCGTACTGATGGAGCATGCGAGGCACCGCAAATGGAAGGACGATTTGGACACCGATACGCTTCATGCAAAGGTTTCGAACCCCAAGAAACCTCCCGCCTTCCTTCGTGACGAAGGCGACGATCAATCGAACAGTACGTCCCGCATTCTCCTCGCCAGCGTTGTTGCTCATCTCCCTTCTTCTTTTCGCAGTGTACTTCCATCTGTTTTTGTTGGAGTACTTCTGGCAGCTGAGCGCGTTCGACCACGGCCGCTTCCGCACGGTCCTCCTTCACCTCATGACCACTGGCGTGCGTGTCGCCCTTCTCTTTTCCTTTTCCTCTTCCTTTTCTCTTCTTCTTTTTCTTTCTGTGTGCCACGTCACGTCGGTCCTTTTTTGTCGTCGCATTCCGTTCCGCACGGCGCGTCGGCTATTTCGAAGAAGGGTGGAGTTCTCTCATAGAGGACGAAGCCACACCCGCTTTTCTCTCCGTCTCGCTTTGTTGTTGTGTGTGTCTGCAGTACTACCCGTTCTGTGGCTCTGTGCCGGCGGCAGCGGGAAGCCATCACTTTCCTTCATCGCGTCTTTTACATCGAGTGTTATAACACTGCGAGAAGAGCGACAGCGCTAACTCACATTACGCCCTGCACACTCGACGTGGCCCACCGCGATGCAACGCACCACGCGCAAACAGATATTCGACATGTCGTACGACCACTTCCAGGCCCTTCTGTTGGACAAGAACGCTACCTCGGCCGCTGCCAAGGCCATGCCGCCTGGCCTGCACTCGCTCCTGCGCAACATCCTCAAGGAGTACAAGACCAACGGTGCCGATCGGCTGACCTACCTCCTTGGCTCCAGCGCTGCTACGCAGAACACCGCGGCGGCCGGACCTTTGCGCGTCTCGCGATCGTCCAAGGCGGCCGCCACCGCAGCGGCCATCGGCCTCGCCGATCCCTCCATGTTCATGCGCGACAGCAAGGACGCCGGCGATCACAAGCTTCTGCCGCGCTCGCGCTTTGCGCTGCGGGCGTCGTCGCGTGCCGCGCTCCCGCGACTGCCGCGCCACTTCTCGTCGCCGTGCCTGCCGATGCAAATCCTGTGCCCCAACCCTTCGTCGTCGGCCCTGCCGCCGCTGGCTCTCCCCTACTCGTCGCCCTACCTCCCGTTCACAAATTCCCGCTATGCCGAAGAGTTCGTCGAAGACAGCACCCTGGGCAATGGTGGATTTGGCACGGTATTCAAGGTATGTATGCGCCACACTCTGGCTAGCACCGAGCGCCGTTTCCATGCGCTTTTTTCTCACTCTCCTTCCTGAACGCGCAGGCTCACCGGCTATTGGATGGTCGGGTGTACGCCATCAAGAAGATCCACTTTCGTGTCTCACAGCGGTACTTGTTTGCCCGCTTTTTTTTTTTTTTTTGTAGCGCCGAACAGCGTCGATCCTTCGCTTTTCTAGGAACTCATCACCTTTATTGTCCGGCTTCGTCGTCGTCTTCTTCTTCAGTTCGACGCGCAAGCTCGAAAAGGTGGTGAGAGAAGTGCAAGCGCTGGCCTCTCTCGACCATGTAAATGTTTGTAGATATTATAATGCCGTACGTCGCCTCTCTTCCCGTCAACATGCGATTGCCACATCCGACTCACCGGCCGGGTCACTTCAGTGGATTGAGCCCATTCAGGCGCACGATCTGGAGGAAATGCTGCGCAAAGCCGAGAACTCGTACGAGGCGAGCGAGGAGTCGACTCTCAGGTACGCTCGCCTCATGCTTTGATCATCGTCCAAGGCATCTTCTAAAGTTTGTGTGCGAGCAGCGTC